GGGGGGGGTGTTCCCAGAAGGAGGGTTTGGCCTCTCGGGGCCCCTGTCCCGACCTTGCCCGGCGAGTGCTCAGTGGCCGTAGGAGGGACTGGTCACCGCGCCATCACCGCGCCTTCTTCCGGAAGGGCTTGCTCCCAGGGCCAGCAGATCATCTTGGGGATGGACATGGTGAACAGGAGACCGCCCAGGCGCGTCCACGCGGCAGCCCACGGCCCCTCTCTCGCCCACGCTCAGTTGTTCCCTTCCGATTCTCCCTCAGGCACTGCCGCCTGTCCCTCCCACGCCTGGAAAGAAGAAACCGCCTTCGGAAGAGCCACAGGCCCCGCCAGCAGGCACGGGAGGGGCCCCTTTCCGAGGGCGGAGGCCTGGGCGACCGCTGACCGGTGGGGGCTTGGGAAGAGAGGCTCCCGGGGCGAGAGCGCTGCTTCCCGGGGGCTGCGGCCGGCCACAGGCGGTGAGGCTGTGTGTGCCTTGCAGTGTCTCTCGTCCCCACCACGGACGTGGACATGCGGTGTTACAACGACTTGCTGAATCTGGTCCCGGAGGAGCTGGCCTCGGTGGCCCTGATCCTGCACTGCATGCTGGAGCAGGTGGGTGGGCGCCGCTCTGGGCCGCCCCTCCCGGGCAGCGCTTCCTTTCTGCTAACTTCCATTTCCAAAGAACAAACAAGCTAAGCTTGAACGCACTGGTAGGGGACGTGAGCCGGGCTTCCACCATGGTGAGACGGGGAGGTGGTGCATTTTGTTGGTCTTAATCCGAAAGGGAGAGAGGCGTGCAGGTGCTCGCATAGACGCGGGCTGCGGGAAGAGCTGCCTGGAAAGGGTTTGCTGAGAGAGAGGCCTGCACGGTCACAGGCGGGTGGCCGCTTCCCTCCCCCTCCCCGCCCCACCCCACATCTGGCCTGCGTCCCAGCTTGTATGCATGAATTGATAAACCTTAAAAAGCAAGGTGCAGGCCCTCTCTGGTGGTGCGAGGGGTTAAAGTGCAGCACTGTGAAGTCAGGCGCAGATACTTCAGGACAAGTTTGATCCCCGGCCAGGGAGCGACCCACACGGCGCAGCAGACCTCTCCTGTCTCCCCGCTGCTCCCTCAGCAGTGTATGTAGTCGATCCGCCTGTTCTGCTCCCCGCTCTGTCTCTGGTGGATCCTCTCACCGCCCCTGCACCTCTGGCCTGTACCCCCACTTCTGTGTGCATAAATAAACACATCTTTAAAAAAAACAAGGTGGGACTTGTTAGAGTTTAGCCATCAGAGATGGAACCATCTTAAGTGGCCTTTTGTGCACAGAGTGGGCCCAGGGGAGAAGGAAGGTGCTCAAGGGCCGAGAAGGAAGGCGGTGGGAAGATGAAGCAGGGACACAACTGGCAGGTGCCGACAATCGTGATGAGCAGGGGGTGTGCCCGGGGCCCCCAATCCCTGGTTGTCGTCCGGGGCGGGTTTGCCTCCTAGCAGGCATTTGGAAACGTCTGCAGAGATCTTCAGTCGTTATGAGGAGAGGGTGGCTACTGGCATCAAATGGGCAGAGGCACTGGGCAGCCTTCATAACACCTAACTGTCAAGCCCCAGAGTCACAAGTTCCAAAGTTCAGAAACCCTCGGGAGCGGTGTGAAGCCCAGAGGATGGTTGCAGGCTTGAAGATGAAGAGCAAAACCACCTGGAAGGCGACATTTCAGCTGCTGTTCTCTGGTGACATTTCAGCTGCTGTTCTCTGCCACACGCACTCGAGCAAAGCTTTTGATCTTTCTAGAACTCACTTTCCCCATATAAAAGAGACCGCTACCCATCCCTGACCTCAACCCCGGTCACTGGAGGAAAGAGAAACCTTGACCTGAGCCCCACTTCCCCCCGGGGGACCGGTTACCTTGCTCCCTATTCCCCGATTCCTTCCTCTGTAAAGTGGAAAATAATGGCTGCACCATGAATTGTCTGAGCTCAGCTGTGTGAAAATGCCCCCACCCTGCTTGACCGGTAGCGGGCACTCAGTAAATGTTAAAATTCCATCAAAATTCATTTGCTTTAAAGATTTATTTCCCTATGCCTACAAGAGCTGGGGTGCAGGCCAGAGGAGCAGGGGATGAGAGGCTTCCCCAGAGACAGAGTGGGGAGCAGAACAGGCGGATCAATGAGGTACGCAGCTGGGGGGCAGCGGCGGGTCCGGAGAGGTCTGCTGTGTCCTGTGGGTCACTCCCTGGCTGGGGACTGAATCTGTGCTGCTGGGGCTGTGGAGAGCTTCGAGTGCTGAGCCTTAACCCCTGCACCACCAGGGAGGACCCTGTGAGTATTAGAATTCACAGGCGACATCCTTCCCGTTTGCTTGGCAGCCTCTGGGCATCACCATTCCTCATCTTAGCGTGTACTTCCCAGGAGAGCTGCCTTGTCTTCACAGAGAACAGCAGAGACACACATGAGGTGAGCAAAGGAGTGACCGCGGCGACCCCTCCAAACGCTGCATTTCAACAGGTGGTGGCAACTGAGGACGACCTTGTCCCTCCCAGTCTGCTGGACCCAACGCCCAGAACAGACGGGCTGGACCACAGAGTTGCAGCTCACATTGCGTCCATCCTGCCCTCCCTCTGCCTCACAGAGAAGGAGAAAAAGGTCAGGTGCATGGGGTACCCCGGAGTTGGCGGGCTTTGAGTCAGCCTGGGTTCTTTCTTTAAATCGGTATCATTTCTGTTTGGATAGAACCTGCATGAAATCTTCTCATCCGAAGAAGAAAAGGAAAGCAAAGCCGTGCCACAAGGCCCTCTCCTGCTCAACTACCATGATGCCCGGGCCCAGAAGAAGTACGTGCTAAAGGTAATATTACCTGGGTCACCCCCCTAACGGACACAAGGACAGTGATCTATAATCACACCCTGAAAGCGAGCGTTAGTCACCTTGACTGAAAAATCAGTCCTGTTTCTGCGCACCAGGACCTTGGGCAAAGTGAGAACTAGCATATGTATATTTTAAAGATGGATTTATTTATGCAGACATGACCTGGGGAACAGGCCAGAGATGCAGGGTGTGAGAGGCTTCACCAGGGACAGAGTGGGGAGCAGAACAGACTTACTGACACCCACTGCTGAGGGGAAGAGTGAGGGGAAAGGAGAAGGGTCTGCCTCACCCTGGGGGTCACTCCCTGTCTGGGAATCGAACTCGGGCCGCAGCAGTGGCAGTAGCTTCAAGGCGCTGCGCTTCAACCCGCTGCGCCCCCAGGGAGGGCCAAGAACGAGCTCTTTCAGCCTTAGGAAAGTACAGTTTTCCACCCCATCTCCGAGATTCCCCTGCTCTCGCGAGTCACCAGCGCAGGGTCACGGCCGCCCTCCCGTCTTCCTCTCCTGTCTTCCGCCATCTTGCTCTTTTTCATCAGGACCAAAAGAATCTGGACCCAGCCCAGATCGAGGAGGACATGCATGCCCGGCTGCCGCTGTGGCGGGTCCTGGCCTTCCCGCTGTCGCCGCCCTGGAACAGCACGAAGCGTCTCGCCATGACCCACGAGCTCATGCACTTCTGTACCAACGGTGAGCGCCGGCTCGCCTTCGCTTCCCTCCCACCTGCAGAGCACGGCCCGTTTGCAGAAGGACCTTGGTTGCGGGGAGACTTCCCGGCCCCGCGGTGCTTTGACGACTGTGCCCCAAGGGACCACGTCACGAGCCACAGTAGGGTTACCTGTAATGCACACCTGGCTCCCGGTTCACGCAGTTCCACACACGCGGGGTTCTGGTCCCACAGTGTTTGTACAGGGTCATCCCCACCTCCCCCTCCCCCCTCCTGTCCCACCCCCAATCACCGGAGAGGCCGGGCGAGCCCTGGCCTGGGCAAGCTCTGTTGGCGCCTGGAGCCCACAGGGTGTCGGTGGACTGAACGTGGCCTCTGGCAGCCGCCGGGCAGCTGGAGGCCCGCCGGGGGCGAGGGAAGGAGGGGTCTTGCGTTGCCCGGAGCCTGTTTCTGCGGGCGGCCGGTGCCCACTGGGATTCTGCGACACAGACAAACGTTTCTGTCCAAAGAAACCCCGCTTCCACTCGAGGCAAAGGGCAGCGAGGCCGCCTGTGAGGAGGAATATTAAATCCCGTGGACATCCCCGTTGGGCCAGAGAGGGTTTGACCCGGCGAAGAGAAAGGCGTGGGCGCGTTCTTCCTCCTCTTTTATTTCCCTCCCGAAGAAAACGACCAGACACTGCTAGCCTGACTTCTTTCTGCGTTTTAAGTAGAAACAGCCGCAGTCACGGGAGCGAGGTGCGGCCCCTGGGCGTGTGGCCCCCGGCCTCACAGCCACCG